CATATTATTATTGCATTGGATTGTTGGGAAAGTAATTAAGAAAGTAAAATAAATCGCTTCCATATCATCAATGTAATAGAATTTGCCAAAAAAGTTAACCTATAATACTACTCCAATTCCGTACTTTTACAACATTTCGTACAAACATCACGTTATGGCCTAACCAGAAGCGTCTCGCAAAAACAAGGCACGGGAACGGAAGTCGTTCCTGATCGTGAAGAGCAGAAAAGATCTAAGAATAAATAGAAACAATCGGGGCCTTTGCACCGATGAGTAGGTATTTATATCGATTGCGAAAAACAACAGCTGCCAAGTGTCAATAACCCGAATCATGGGCCTACTTGTTATCAGATGTGCGAGCTATCAATACTTAGAGCGGTGATTCTGACACCCTTATTATAATTAGGGAAAGGTCGAATTAACTTTAGGGGCGTTGTTGCAAGTATATTTTAATGATAAGCATAGTGTTTTATTCTAGATTTCGATAGTTGGAAATCCGCAGACTGAAACTGAAACGCGATTAAATTGACGGCTTTTTTTATGGTGGCTCGTCGATATACCCATTTAATATTTATATTTTACAGACAAAAACTAGAATTTCAGAAAAGGTTGAACACCGTGGGAATCAAGAAGCTCATAGACAGACTATATTTATATTTTTTCTGAAATTGGTGTATACAAATCACCTTCCGATTACCTAACAATAGTTCTGTTAAAAATCTTAAAAGTTAACGTAAATGTTGTAAATTAAATAGGAACTATATTTTCCCCTAGAATTTTCGTGTTGAATTTGACAGCAGCGAGTGTTATAAATAGACCTATTAAATAAATATCTTGCTAGTATTTTTCATGGATTCCAAGTTAAGGCTATTAACAGACTGTGGACTAATTAACTTGGGAGAGATTTTTTTTATAATATATATCTCAATTATTATTATATTATATTATTATTTTATATGAAATATTCTTAAACTCGAAATTCTCATAATAAATGAGGTTTATGTTAATGCAAGCATATGTAAGATGCATGTATGGTACGAACATGTAACATTCCATTTAATTATCAAAGAACAATTGCGATATTACTACAAAGAGTCGCAACGCTGAAAATAGCCTTAGAGAAATTCTTAACAGAAGTTTTAAATCTAAACACACTTTATGAGCCCTTCCGTTTTCATATTGTTTTTATGTTCTCTAAAAATATTTCGGGGATAACTCTTTCAAATTAGTTGTTTAATGATGCATAAAATAGGTTTAATAGCTTCATCCTTTTACAAGTGTTTAACTATTTCGTTGATAAGTTTATTACTGAAAGCAAAAGGATATGCTACTGTTTTGTTTCACGAGCGTTAAATATTAGTCCCGTCACATTGAGACTGGAAACACATTTCCACCAATAGTCAGACACTCTAGTCTACTTCAGCTACTTCCACAGTGTTATGACATACGGCATACTACTGTAAGGGTAACGCTGCCGATATTGAATGTATCTTTGTGTTGCAAAAGAGAACGGTCCGGGCTATCTCTGGTATGGGATTTCAAGATAAAAGAGATACCTTTAAAAATATTGGTATACCTACTGTGTACTCCCACTACTACTACATTGTATGCCCATAAGAATAAAAGCAAGTTCAGCAAGAATAGTGATAGGCATCATTTGAACTTACGAAATAAGGATAAACTAGCTATCCCCAAATATTGGCTCCATAAAATATCTAATTCATTTGCGGGGAATTGTATTTGTATGTATAATTACCATTGCCAGTTGAGGTTTCTAATTTATCGATAAATAAATTTAAGAAAGTCATAAAATTTACATTGTCTCAAAAGGCGTATTATTGTCTGAACGATTTCTTTAATGACAAGACCGCCTGGCAGTACTATGAATTGCTCCTTAGGTTAATAAATTCACAAAGTATTACTATATAAGACATGTTAAAAAATCCGGACTTCCAAGAAACGCTTGGGTATTCTTCTCAGTATGTTGCTCTTTTGAATACTCTGTAGAAACACGACAAACAGACAAACAAAAAAAATTTGACAAATCTAATTTTTTTTTTAATTTTAAAGAGAATAAAGTATATAATTTTATTTTATAAAAAAATCTACCCAGGTTTGTACATTCTTCACGACATAATTTCAACATTCTATTTAATATTTGGCAAAAAGTTAGTCAGAACGACGGGATATAATATAAACTACTTTTTTTTACTTTATTGAATCTCTGGTCTCAACAGTTCTTAGTCCCAGAGCAAGTCAGCAAAGTATTTCGAAAGAAAAGGTTAAGGAAAAATTATATGGTATCAGATTTGTTAGAAAAACCCCGACCTCCAACTTGGCCGGCCGTCAGTTCCGTCACAGTGACGCGATAAATTCATATAAAATATATCAGCAGACGTAGGTCACAATAATGGTTCAAAATAATCGCACTGCTGACTTTGACCCCATTCCACAAAGGTCTTACGCACGTAATCTACGCGGAGATGGAGCATTCGTAGCTCCGTAAACAAACCGTACCGATGCCGACGAAAATACGCTTAGCTAAGGACATTTATTTTGACTGACGTCCTTCCTTCTCGCATCGTAAAAAATAAATCAATAAATAAATAATATGTTTTGAAAAAGACGTGACATGCGATGTCGGAATTTAGTTGATGGCTCTACAACTATAAGACGTGGCTACCTGTAGGTACATAATAATATTGTGGAAGGGTTCTATCAATGTATAAAGCATTAGTATTTTAATTATTGTTACTGAAACAAAGACACAGGTCTATGGAAGTATGTCAAAACTACCAGTTACTGGGATTTTTGTCACTTTAAGTCTGATTGTGTGTGCATTGCGTGAAATTAAAAATCCCGCCAAACCTACGCAATAAGTCGAAAATTTGCAGTCAGTCTTTTAGTTAAATAAAAACTATGCGCAGATCTAAATCAGAGTCAAAAATTGGATTCGTTAAGCTTCGAGCAAACAATACACTGACAACGGACTTTTCGAATTCAGTAAAACTGTATTTCGTAGTTCTTTTTAATCATATTCTCCTGGTACAAATGGAGCGATACAACAGCGCGTTTTCAGAGCAGTTTCAATAGAAACGCAATCCGCTATCTGCAAAAACTTTGTTTCTCCCTACAATACGTTAAGCATACGCGGGTATTGTTAAGCGCTCGCAGTTAAACGAAAAATCTACTGTATCTCTTTATTGTGTTGGCTATTCGGAGCAGGTAAAACAAGAATCTAGGTGCAGATTGAAAATTAATTGCGAATCCTCGACTATTAATTAAATTGTTACGTTTTGTATTTTGGATGAATTTGTTGTTAAAAGAAAAGAATCAAGGCGCAGAATGTTTTCATTTATATTTTACATTATTCTCATGATGTATTCATGTTTATTTTATTATTTATAATTTATATAATTCAGGTAGAAACTTAAAAACTTTCATATACATATATTAGATAGTCAAGTCTGTTATTAAATTGAATAAAAATATATAGTTGTAGAACTCTCAACATAATGCTGTCGTATTATGTTAGTCGAGCTATTTCCGGCAATAAAATGACACCCGTAGCATCAATTTTACTGGTCCGGTTAATATAAAAAATTGATTAGACAATAACGATAGCTCTGCACTCCAATGTTATAAACAGATCTCGGCCATACGATGACCCAAATAATAATTAGCTTAGCTAGCTATATTTTGCGTGCAATACATACCGACATACCGTCTTTCCAGTTAAAGCCGTGCTAAAGAAGATGCGAATAAAAGCCCAGCTAACGATATAAAGGTCATCTTTACATTACTAAAACGAAAACGAAATAAAATTGTGTTTTTTTTTAACGTTAAAACTGTTAAAGTTACGTCGCCTGGAATCCTAGTTGGAACACATTGAAATATATTATGAATATCTTGTCTTCGAGTGTAGCAAGAGCTAAGCTCAGTGCGTCAGTATTGCTCTATGAACAAAAATAGTCACGTCTGTTTGTAATTAATGAAAATAGAAATGTAGGAGCGTTCAGTTTTCCTCCAATCGTTCCGGTGCCTTTGACGTATGTCTCGTTTAATAAATACTCGAAACATGAATTAACCTTATTGATGTTTTCGTTTGCACCCACTGTTCTCCGTGGCTTATCCGAAAACATTGGTTGGAATCCTTCATGTGTGTGCACCTTATTTAAATACATTTTGGCTAATTGTTTATTTGTGTAAAATAATAATTTGCGTTAACTTATCAAAATAGGTGGCAACAAAGTTTTGGCTCTACTAAACTGCACAAAGTAGCTAAATCAACAAATAGGTTGTAACATCACTATGTATAGGTATAGTTAAAGATATACAGTTCTATACAAAAAGTAGAAGCTTTAGTTAATTATTTATTTACACGTTTATAAGACACAATTTCATGAATAAGGTAAAAATTTACGCGTAAGAACAATCAAACAATATACTATATATTCGAAATTTTAAAATCCCCTACTAATAGCGTTACTCATAAACTGTCATGGGTTCGAGTTCCGGGTAAACCGAATAGCTTTGTCAATAGATAAGAAGAACGTCGTGATAGAATCATTACTTTATAAAACTCTTTCTTGAGCGTTTGAAAAATGTCAAATGAATATAAACACGGATTTGTATAATATAAATATTTTTACAAATCACTCGTGAGTGCAATAACATGTCCATTAAACAATAAGACGCTAGTTCATTGTTTTATGTTCCACCAGTGAGATGTATCTCAGTTTGAGTTTATACTTGTTAGTGATATCACCCACGTATTGTCAAACAAGTGATTTAGGTGATAGAGCACTATTGGAAAAAAAGTAATAGATTTAGTTGAATTTGTAGTGATGAAATATATTTGTAAATTCTATCTAGATTTCTTGTGATTTCTATTTTTTTTATTTATTAAAAATGAACTTTTTTTTTTACAGGTACGTCGTGGAGAAAAGTGATGGATAGTCGCAAGCTTTTAAGTGAAAAGTGTTGTCAAATCAGTGTAGATGAGTGAAAAAGTGAATTTAAGTAAGAAGATGACGAACATTACGCCGGAGACCAGAATCATGATGATGAGATCCGACGAGAGCCGGCAGGGCTATAGGAGACAGGTGAGATACTTCTATGTACTAGTAGTATCGTACTTCTATATTATTCACGCCCAAAACAGCGTTTTCTTCGATTTTGATAGAATTTTGTGCCAATGTAGCCTTTGTTTAATAAAATAATAAAACAAAATTTAAACAATATAACATAGATCCAATACGTTTCTTTAAAACGTGCATTTAGACAGATAATTTGAAGAAAGCCGACATAAATATTTTCTATTCTTAAGCAACGATTCACTTTAGGTCTTTTCAGTGCGATCAAAGCTTCGATTCGGGCCAAAAAGCTTAATTTGACTAGAGAAGCTTGTCTGTCCTCCTCTGTCACCAATGTGATAAGATCCACCTGCTGCGCTGTCGACTTATTTTGGCTTAGGCGAAAAATCTCTTGCGCTAAACCTTCGATTGGACGGTTCCTAATGATTTCAATATTCGCAAATTTGCATCGCTATTCGGTCTAGTTTAAATATCTCATTGGCATTTGGTTCGGCAAAACCAAAGCAGGAAAGCCGAAAAGTAAAATTGATTGGGTTCCGTCAAACATTTACCTCATGAGACACTACTTGGACATAATAAAAATTATTTAGTTAGAGACAGATATACCGCCGATCACTAAATTAAAGTACGTGTCACTATATGTATACAATAAAGTAAGAGCGACAGTTGCAAAGTTAAAAATAAAATGTAAGTTTTTCATTCCACATGTATCGCGTTCAAAGCGTTTTCAAGTGCAGATTACAATTTTCCTATTGAAAATGAAAGCTTTTCAAGCTAACTGGCATCGTTTACTCTCAAATGAAAAGTGTGGAAAAAGATATATACATATTATATGCTTTTATAACATACACAAAGATAAATGTTTTTCAATGTGATTGATGCAAGCTTCAGCCGTTTACATTGTTATCAATAAAATAATAACAAAGCAAGGCTACAAAATATTTTTTAACGCTGTTACGAGTACCTATATTGTTATATTATCAAGATTGTCGCTGCATTAGTATACATGTCGTTCATATTTTATCCTTAACCCACTATATCGTTACTGAGTAAGTATAATTCATCATGTCTAGTTTTTCCTGATACAAACAAAATCATTTATTCAAAGGATTTTATCTCCAAGGAAACCATACATGTCGCATAGATAATGATTAGATACGTCGCTGGGTTTCCTTAATTTTTTTTGTTTATGGTTATTGTATTATAATTGTTTGAATGTATTATTCTTTAACAGTTTAGATAAAATTTAAAATCTATTTATTTGCATATAAAGTACAAGGCAAGTTATCCTTGTAACATAACGTAAGGTTTATTTGAAAACATAAATAAGTATTTTGACTGAATACCATTTACTATGTTAAAAGTTCATATTTTAGGCGTGTATAGTTATTTTATAATAATTTACGTAACAAGTTGCCTACTTGTTACGTAATTTATGATAAATTTTTAGTATGGGAGTTCTCATAAATACTTATTTATTTTAATTTTATAAATTTAGATTCTATAGTGACATAGAATTCGCTTGAGAAATTTTTAACCATCTGACCATTGCAATCTATCAGTGAAACGGACACAGAAATATATTCGTTCCACGTCTCACGGGGGGAAAACGGGATTCCACTTTTTGGCCATTTTAATCATCCCTTTTATAACCTTCGCGTACAGACTCCTATAAACACTGTCTAAGTTGCCCTTTATGTCCTAATACAAAAGTTACATCAAACATTCCCATTCCATTAAAAGTATGAAACATCTACACGTAATAATAGTGCATTTCGACTGTCACAGCACAATAAATGACAGTATGATCCTTCCGAAAACGCGTCTAGTGAAATCTAAATTCACGTTGCTCGATAATAGAGTCTACTTTTGCGTGTCGTCTCTTGTCCAAATCTAAGTCAGTGTGTCGTCCGTTGACCCCTTCCAAATGTTCGCTTCAATCTAGTGACGCTTTTAGATAATGTCACTAGTGATGTCACTGTTCCCTTTCGTCGATGATATATCGGTTTTTAACAGGAATAGATTAACTAATATGTTTCGTAAAAATTTTAGGCACACTAATAAAGCGCTTTTTATTTTCCACTATCGTTACCAAACAGTAAATATATTACATATTTACTAAATATCAAATATTTCATCTATATCCAATATAAATAAATCGCGTAATTCTCAGGGACGACTATTTCGACTTGAAAAATCTTATTTGAGTCAATTCTCGAGGAAGGCTATATAATATCATGCTACGACCGAATAGGATACAAATTATTTACACTAATTTTAATCTTGCAAACAACAAAACCACGTTGGCAGTTAGTAATTGACTTACCTCATTTCATATTTTTTAGATAATTCACAACTCTTACGTTTTTAGAAGGCTATTCTGCAAATAAATTTTGGCGCAATTATTACATATTATTATTGTTATATCGATATTAACGTATAGCACTAGCAATCGGTATCACTTAAACAAGGCGCTCGCAACATTGATCGATTCCCTACAGTTGTGTTCGTGTACATCACTATACATAGGCTGTTACAACGGTCCTCTAATATCTCGAATAGCTGAGATATTAATTACATTGACAATTGGCAAACACAATTACATTGGCTCTAGTTTGTATTGTAATTTTATATTTAACGCTGATTGTGAGTTTGAGTACCGTTTGTATGTTTATTCCACGGCCTCAAATACAGGATCATAATTTTCAATATGCATTGTAGGTATTGGCCGCCCTAGCAGTCTCCCTGGGACCATTCGCAGCAGGCCTAAGCAAGGGCTACATGTCGCCAGCCATCGCTTCGATGCAGGAGTCACGGTTACACGGCACCTTTACTGTCACAGATCAGCAGGCCAGTTGGATAGCCAGCTTGAGTTTATTGGGTGAGTACGTCTCCATCAGTGAACTAATAATATTTCAAAACCCGAATCCTTTCAAACTAGAAAATAAATATACTTTTATTTCAAGGGCTGATCTCCTTTAGTTTCACGTTTGGAAGATCTTTGTTTAATTTAACGTAAATTACATTATTTATTTAGTACCTACTATGTATATGCGTACGCTACTATAGATAGGACACATCTGTAGCATTATCGTAGCTTTTGCAAAGACATGTTATAATTTAAAACAATTTTATTTTTAATAGTTAATATATAACTCATGTAAAGTTTTTTTTATGAAACAGAAATGTTTTCAAAGTTCCTGTTCGTATAACGTGAAACAAGTCACTCTTCATAATTTTTCATAAGCGACTTTCGCATGGATAAACACAAGTTAAATATCGCGTTTCTCTCTGGGAAAATCGTAACAAATAAAATACATAAAACAATACGTCGAACAGGTTCGATTCCCGCCTGGTTTAAAGTGTAAATTGCGAACAAGATTAAAGCCATAAACGTTAGAATTATAACGCGATTCATGATTTATGGCGGCTGCTCGAATTGCCTTTTGTTTCAAACGTAACAACTCGGTATTATGTAAATTATTGTAAAACACCGATTCCACTCTTAGTCATAAATTCCATAGAACTCTGAAACATGTCAATATTGATAAAACATAAGTTGTCGTATTTAATACATCTTGCAGCTATTAAATGCGGATTTTTTTTTTAGAAAGATCAAATTATAGCTGATAGTGTGGCTTTAAATTGTTACCATTACTTTTGATAGAAAAGAGACGAAGATATGTCATATGTAATAAATCACACAGCCTCATCGTCTTTTTATAAGGATGAAAAAATAATAATTAGAATATGCATTCTTAATATAGTACATAGACTGAACACAGCAAATAGATGAAAACAGCACTAAAAGTCTAGCTAGGTACGTTACTTTGACATTAGGTATTGCATTTAAACTGGTTTTAGTGCAAACTGCTATTGTTGCTGACAATGCGACTGGTGCGTTGTCTAAGCGAGGACTTCTGGTAACATGAACACCCGTGTTCAAGTTTCGTACATATTCTTGATCTTATGTGTTAGAAATTATATATAATAGCGAATTATGTAACTCCTTATTTATATAAATTATAATGGAACTGGAGATGTTACATCTACAAATAAATAATTTAGTTCGTTGAAAAAACACGAATGCGAGTAAAAGACAAGTAATGGTAATTTATTCTTTAAGTACGCTAATTATTTTAAAAGGACCTGAGGGCTGACAATTGTCGTACTTAAATAACTTAAATTACTGTATTTGTTCGGTTGCAATTACGTTGCAATTTAAATTACAATTACAATCAGGGATGAGAAATTAATTTTTAACACTACATTTTCTCTCTTGAAAAAATCAAAATACTTACAATGTTTCCATTTACTTATTGAATAACTGTCGTAGTTAGTATTAAATAGTTAAAATAAGATTTTGACATCCCTATACAAAATGTATGCCGAAGTGCGATACATAAATCGGGCGTTTTACGATAATTTTGCATTTGAAAGGTAGGAGATACGTAAGATGCTTTAAACTGCATTGTTTGTGTTCCTTCTATGTGTAAATCAGGGGTGGCAACCTAAAAGTAGCGTTAGAGCTCACCCTAACTTTTTCTATAAACCTTAGTTTCATATTTCGTGTTAAAGATTATTTTGATTTCCACGTGCACGATCAAGGAATTTCTAGAAAGACAAATAAATCACGAGCGCCATCATTTAAAACTATGCAGGTTCAAGTTTTTAAATTAAAATCTTGTCAGAAAATTTTAGAATTAGTTTTCAAGTACAGTAAGATATTACATTAAGTATAGTTTAATAAATTACCTAAAACTATCGTTAAGAATAATGTCAACCCTAGTAAATAGACATGAGGACATCTGCACTTTAGTTGAAATGCGTTTGTTTAGATTTTGTCTCTTAAGTGGTGGTTTCAAACATCCGAGAGTTTTCTCATTGACCGGAAAAACATAAGTGTAGTTACGGACGCGTGTTTCGCTGATAGAACCTAAAGTAATAAGTAACCACTAAAAAAGAAATCGATGATAAAAATACCATAACTTAAACAAACGTGAAACAGATTAACTTTTCTTATAATTTCTGTATATTTAGTAGGTATTATATACAAAACCGAATGTTGTACGCATAGACCAACCCATTTTGTTATTGTCTTTTTTCATGGGCGGCATATGAATATTTATTAAGCAAATAGAGAAGTTAACTTCTAGCGTATCGTATTCAAATACGCAGAAGAGCATAATATTATCTTAAGCTTTATACGACTTTTATTGAACAGTAAAGCGACAATTACGGGATGTAACGTAATTGGTAATTAAAATGTTCTGTTTTATTGATAACACGTTTGTTTTATACAGTTCGTTAAAATGTATTTAAGATCCTTTGTTATCTTGACTACTTTAGGAGTTTTAAGTGATTTCAAATTAATTATTTTTTTACAGTTGTAATTTTATTTTAATAGATATACACTATTTAGAAAAGTTATTTATGCCTATATAATTTTTTAAGACATAAGGCAGACCTATCATCTAAACGAAATCCTGATATCGATACAATTTGGCTTTGGATAATGAAGACCGACACACAAAACGGTCTCACATCAAATCTCATCAGTGGACGTGACCCGGACGGAACTGAACCTGTTAATGTTCCTCACCACAGTTATTCAACATACATTGGTACATTCCATATGACTATATTGTGTATCAATAAGTCGTGTGGAATTGAAATCGCTACAAGACGACATTGCAAAAAACCTTATTATATTATTATGTGTATATACGAAAATTGTTCTTACACACAAGATGTACCTTATCTGTTACTTCAAAACACTCTTTGGCGTATAAAATTAATCAAGCCTCAAATCAGGTATTGAGAATTGATCTTTTCTTCGTACCGTGCCACAAAATTACAGCCTGCAGCCTCCACCCATACGATATATTAAAATCTGCCATGTTAGAGCAATTTTGTGATTATACCAAATGTGCCGATGGTAACGTGTGAGAAATTACAGGTTTCATTTTAATTCACGAATATCTTTGACCATAGAACGAAAGTTTGGGTGATTAGAATGCTTACGAGATTAATGTTGGCTACAGTGGTGGTCAAATACTAAATCTAAGTCACCTTAAAATCTTCTTTTTTAATTTATTGGTCTAACTCATAAAAAAATTAATTACAATAAACATAAAAATACGTAATATCCTAAGGACACTGGTACCATTAAGATCCATATAAATAAAACACTTTTAACTTTTATTAGTAAAAATACATTATTTTAACCTGTAGTGTAAACCATTCGGAATGCTGTCCATCTTTCTTTGTTCTAAATCGATCCTAACGAATGTTCAGTAAATCAATCACTTGATGCATTAGACATCGCACAGTAAAGCTGAATAACTTAACGTTCAGAGTTCAGACACATAAACATAATAACTTGGGAAAATTTACCAAATGATAGATATAAATATGAAATCCCGCTTCCCCCTGTTGGGCATGGGGCGAACATACTTCAGTGTTCGTTTCACTTGACGATTTTATTTACAGTCGAATAATTTCGGGACTTAAATAAACTTCTTTTACTTTTACCCGAACAAAACTGCTGATTGTTTTTTCGAGATTTGAACCTGGGACATTTTACTGCTCAAAGTACCTACTGCTAGGCAATAAGTTTAACCCATTGAGCTACAGCGGCCAAGCAATGTGTAATGTTCCAAGAATATATCTATAGAGTAAATAAATATAATAGTTAAATAATGTAAGTCATTTACAAAGTAATCTATAAGAAGGATGTTTGTTGTTTATTTTCGATAATGGTTTAGGTCTAATTCCTTAATGATATTGTTTGTGTTTATACAACGTAATTATCAGATACTATAAAGGACCTCCTCCGCCATTGTATTAGTTAGTAACAAAAGTAGTAACAAAAGAGAGTAACAAACGACAGTTCTTCCGAGAGTAATAAACGAGAATAATAATAGAGAGTCACAATCGGTCACTCATAATTCGGAGTCATACTTAGACAGTCAAGATCGACAGTTTAAGCCGAACAGTAGTATAATATATTGTACCGCGTGTGTTGTGTGTGTATGTGTTTTGATAATAAACCTTTAATATAATCATAAAGGGTATTTCATTCGAGTCTCCCGCTCCGAATATTACATATTGGTGTCAGAAGTGGGATAACATACAAGAGGGATAATATACAAGAGGGATATATATGAGGCTATCATAAAATTCCTCTTTGTCCTGAAAAATAAATAAGAAGAATATCGGAGACCAAGGAAGATTCGAGTGCTGTTTAAACCAGTCTTCGAGACGGCGCTTTCGAGCAAAGAAACAGCAGCCCTTATCGCAGTTCAACAGAGCGAGACCTTCGGTGCAGTTCTACATAGCGGTTGCGCTATTACCACCACGTCTACGCATTGTGCAACATCTGCAGAGGTACAGCAGTCCCTCAATAATCAACACACGAAGTCGAGGCAGTCCCGGTTGGTTCCTGAGCTACTACCACTGCCGAGGATTCACACGAAACAACTACGCTACAATTATTATAAGATCGTCAAAAAGTAAGTTAATATACAATAAATAATAATTTCGTTGTTCTAGATAAAAATAATGGAGAAATCTCAATGTAACACTGGATTCATTGATATCAGTTTAGCGGAACGTATGATACAGAGATATGATGGCGACAAATCAAATTTACACGTTTTTATAGACAATTGTAATAATGCTTATGAACTTTTAAATCCAATTTTTAGAATTGCATTTGTTTCTGTAGTACTTTCAAAAATAGAAGGTAATATTAGGTCAACATTACTAAACCGTTCATTTACTTCTTGGGATCATTTAAAGGAACATTTACTCGAAAATTATTCGGAAAAGCGTACTTTTGCTCAATGGCAATTAGAATTAAATTCATGTAGACAAAGT